CATTTTCCCATATTAGACACTGTTTATAGATGTGTACATGTACACATCGCGTATGTGTGCGTATACAGGGTGTCCCAGCTCGATTTCACAATCTCTCGTGAAGAGCGGATTGTGGTGAACGTTCCATATCATTTTGCGATATTCGCAATGGAGATATTAAAGCTTGATCTACAATGTGTTCTTTGCTTCTTGCTTCTTTCTACTTATCTTTTTCTGATTCAAACCTTAAACTTTGCCAGAAAAAGACAGAAGACAAGAAACAAAACGCAAAGATCACATTGTAGATTAGGCTTAAGGGGATGCTGAAGCTGAAAACGACAGAACACTGACATTTTTTTACAAAGTTTACGTCGTATTGGTTACATAGAATTACAAATGCTTTTACGCAATGAAAGTATGTGCAAAAATAAATAGGAGCATTGCTCGATATATGTCGAAAACGAACAAAAAATTCTTAATGTAAAATACTCAAACTGTCAGTTAGCGCAATATTTGTCTAATCCAAAAGTTCCGCAGCTTGTATATACCGAAAATGTGGATGTTCCAAACGGAAAAATTTGAAGAACATTTCTCTGTCTTCATATCTGCATTTGGAAGTTTAAAAATATCGATAAAGTTTGCAAAAAGATTTCTATACATATATGGTTAGGTTTTCTGTTGAATATGGTAAAACAAAACAACACACATTCATGTTCTGTATATACAAGAAATACAAAAATGATAGCGTGATTATGTTAGTGACGATCGTCTCTGTATTATCGATATTGTTCGAATTCGTCATCGATTTCAACATCCCCTTAAGGCTCCTGAGAAGTTGTATCATCCATCTCTTTTTAATGACGTCAGAAGCGAGAAAACGCATGCTAAAAATTCATGCAAAGTACGTCGAGATAAACAGATATATCCACGACATTTGCGATCGATTAAGTACACCTATAAAATATTCCGTACACTTTCCTTTTGTTCTAACAATCAACAGATAATTATAAAATAAATGTGACGTGCAATCGTCTTTTTTAACTTTTTTAATTTCCTCATTATCTTGTCATATTAATTTTCCGATTATTTATTGATTTTTAGAATAAAAGGAAAGTGTATAGAGTATTTTAGAGGTGTATTTAATCGATCGCAAATGTCGTTTTGTGAATATATCTGTTTATCTCGATGTATTTTGCAAGAATTTTTAGCATGCGTTTTCTCGCTTTTGACGTCATTAAAAAGAAATAGATGATGCGACTCCCCAAGAGCCTTAATTAAAGAAGACAATAAATAGATCTTTTAAGTGATGACGCTTGATATGATAGATAAACTCGATATGATAGTGACATCTGTCGCTGTGTGTTTGTATATTATGTTATACTGAACAAAAAAGTCCTGTATCATTTTGAAAATGATCGCGTCGATTTTTAGTTATTGAGTAAAAAAGATTTGTGCATTATCGCACACAATCATGTAACAATTGTCTTTCATTAATAACTAAAAATTTATGTAATTACTTGCAAAATGAAGGACTTTTTATTCAATTTGATCTAATATACAAGCAATATGGTAGACGACGCTACTATACAGCTCATCTACCATATCATGCGTAATTATTTATAAATCTTTTATAATTAATATCTCTATAATTATTGCGATTTGCGCAAAAATATTTGACTCTTGTTCATTTCAATCTGCTCTACACCCAAAGAGATCATGAAATCAAGCCGAGATTTTGTATGTACGAGTGCATACATAAAAAAATGCATATAAATAATGCATTTAAGTAATTTGATTCAAGTATTTCATAAGTTTATATGTATCGGCAATATATTCGCAAATTAATTAAAAGTTTTTTATATAAATATCAAATTTATTTAGAATATATTCTGTGTGAGAGAAAGAGAGAAAGAGAGAGAGAGAGAGAGAGAGAGAGAGAGAGAGAGAGAGAGAGAAAGAGAGAGAAAAAGAGAGAAAATCTTACACTGAGAATAGAAAATGATTGATCTAATTAAAATTATAGATAATTTTGGTGCTAACTAAATTAATCTGCCATTTTATTTTTTGACAAAAATGATAATAATAGTGTGAATATAAAAGCATTATCACTGACATTATAGTAGAATTTTACGATAATACGTACTCTTTATTCTTGACGAGTAGAATTTTATAAAAAAAAAAATGGTTTTCTCGACCATAATATTTTTAGTAATTACTTTTCTATGCTATTGTAATTAAAAACATCAAACATTTCTTTCTCAGTGTAGTAAGCGCGCTTAGCATTTCAATCCAGTATATTAAATTAAATTAAAAATTCGGTTTGCTTACTACATAGAGTCAAACCAACTTTTTCTCCGGTAAGATTTAACAATATTCTTACAAATAGGATACATTCTTCTTTTGAGTATACAATAATGAGCTTTTCTCAAATTTGTGATAAGTATGTCTTAAGACCATTATCAAGAAGATATTCTTCGTTGAAAATAACCATTGCTTAAAAAACGAAAAATAAACAGAATAATCGTTTTCCTCAGTAGCAGAACATTTTTCTATGTGTGTGTGCATGCGTGGTTGTGCTCAAGAAAGCGCATTGCGTCTGCAGACGAGTCGGCAGAACGGAAAAAGGAGGAAGTTTCGAGCAATCGCGATAGCGGATTCACGAGAGATATAATACGAGCCAATTCGCCCAATCAGGTAAATGCTGCGACGCGACGCGAGTTTTCCGAGCTACCGTTGCAACGGCAATGACGTATTCACGGATGCGCCGCGTTCACGAGGATATGCAAGAACGCTCGGACAACATCGACACGGCGATTCCTCGGCGAAGACGCTCGGTCGTTCGCCGACTTCATATATAACATTCCAGCACCGAGAACGGTATTCTCCTCGTTCACGTACGGTGCATTTAGCTGTAATCGTCGCGTTATGACCCTCGATAATGGCGCGGTGATAACGATCAGAAAATAATTACCACGAAACTATTTCGCGGTCACATAAGCGTCGGCCATGGCTTCATAACGGATTTTTATGTAGCTACGGATGCCTCGACGCAATGAGGCAAATAGCGTCGCGCGTAAACGTAAAGTGCACAAACGTAAGTGCCTCGTTCACGTGGCCCGCGAGAATGAGTATTGGACAATTAAAATCGGGAATCTTAATATAATAATATTATATCGGGGACCGCGTATCTTAATATAATAATATTTTGTAGTAATAATTTATAATAATAGTAATAATTAATAATGATAGGTTTGTTCTTTTTTAACTGAACTGCCTGAACTGGTTATAATAAATAGATTAGAGTGAAACAAAATATATATATTTGTCTGATTTTAACTTATTGTATCAGTCTGCATCAATACAAACAGTTCTGCTAAAAAGAACAAATCTAATTGTATTTTGGTTATATACAAAGAAAGAAAATAACTTGTACAGAAAGAATCGAAAATGACCATAAACAATGAAAGTGATAGAAAATGAAAATAAATATAGGAAGTGAATATCATAAAAAGTTGAATTATAGATAAAAGTAGTGTAAGTGAGTTTGAAAGTTTGCAGCCTAACCTAGGCAAGAAACAAGCTCGAAGTTCTGTGAAATGGTTCAGATTAAAGGGAAGAAATTGAAAACATGTGGGTCATAGGAGCAGAACAGGTGTGTAAATAAAGGACGAATTCTAGTCAGACAAAGCTCTCCTTTTAAGCGTTAAGTTAAATCATGTAAAACTTTCATTTTTTATGGATCTTTAAGTAAAGTATTAAGATCTGTATTAATAGTTGACAACTGGAAACTATTAATTATTATACAGAAACTTGTCTAATGTAAGATACTCAGATTTTTATTCAATAGTCAATATTAGAATCCAAGTTTTAGATCCATTTTTGAATTAGATCAATTGAATGTATAAATATATAGATATATGATATTTATCTGTAACCACGATTTAATAGAAATACTCTCACCTAACTCTAAATTAAAATCTGAGCATTTTATTTCAGACAAGTTTCAATAATTATTAATTAAAAAAGCTTAAGAGAACTTTAAATATAGTTTAATATTCTCTGAGACTTCATTATTGAGACTTCATATTCTACCTTACTCAATTATATATGCGTGTATGTGTACATAAATTTTTTTCCTTATATTTTTTATTTATATAAAAAATATATCTCATTTTTTAACGAAATTTTCCAAAAAAAGAACTCTAGTTCTGAAAAAGAATCCTATTAACATTCTGTTAATCTTAATTCCTATTTCCTACAATTCCAAATTTTAAACAAAAATTTTTACCAAAAGAGTACACAGTAGTTCTCTTTTTATAGAGTAAACTATTAATCAGAAATTTATTAGATGTCACTTGAACTTTTCTTTTCTGAATAAAAAAATATGTTCACTTGAAGCAAAACGCGTTCTTACGCGCGATATAAAAAACATGACAAGTAAGATTCGTGTGTGCGTGTGATCTGTAGATAAAAATAAAATTCGTCTAACTTTGAGAATATTGCGCTTAGAATATTTTTTTTTAATTTTAAAAGTATTCTCTCTCTCTCTCTCTCTCTCTCTCTCTCTCTTTCTTGAGAGACTAATATATAAAGGAATTCCGCTAAAGATGATATTATATTCTCTCGGGTGTTTAATTCTTCGACTTTCTACGCATACAGAGAAAAGATTAGCCATTGGAGCTAGAACACAGCTGTAACAGCTAAGATGTATTATTGAAATAGGGACAGCTAATGTTGCTATCAGAGCTAAATTTATTAGTTATCTAAACTTCGTAGTTACGGCAAAAAATATTTGCTGCTAGATAGAAAGTTATTATCATTATCATTTCGCTTTTTTTTAAATTGTGCTTTGTATTCAAAAACGTCAAACTCATCTCAAAAAAATAAAATTAACGCTTTGCATTACAAATTTAAACCACTATTTCTCATAGGTTTTTAACAGAGATCAATAATTAATGTCCACTTTAATGTAGACACTAATATTTTTCGTACTTACATTATTGCTATTTCTTATGCTACAGAAGAACGATCTTATGTCCATCGGAAGCGCAACGATCTCATCTTTCCAATGGTTCTTGTTTCAAGTCGCTACGACGTTTAGAAGTGACGTTATACACAATTGTATCGATCCGCGTTCTAGATCGTTCGGCGTTGTCGCTGCGGTACGTCACGACGCGATGCGTAAATGGAATTCACGCGAATGGAATGGAACGCGACTATTACTGCCAGGAAGTCACCTTGCGCACTGGACGCACATACGCAGCGAGCTCGGCCCGCTTACCTCCACCCCGCGGCTCAGATAAGCATAGGTTTATTAAAAAAAAAACTTTCAGAATCTAGTTTCATGGTTTAAATGTATAATTTAAGCGACTAAATCTTGATTCTGAAAAAGAAAGAACTATATATTTGCCTTATATAACTAAATAATTTCCTAACTGTGTGACTTTATTAGCTTGCATTATTTGACTGAATAATTTAGCAACAACTACCGAATTTTTATACTCGTTACGAAATACTTTTAACACATGAAAGCCCATCACTGACGCGGTCATTCACCTCATTTAAAAAGTAGATATAGCGCGTTGGCGCGAGAGCAAACGAATGCACGAAGTGTTGCAGGAATGCAAATTTCGAACCTAAATCTGATATATCGCAGCCTTAAGCAGTTCTGTAATTCAATAAAATAAAATTTAATATAATAAAGTATAATTTAAATGGCTATAAACACGCGAATAAGTCGACGCTGCGACATGAAATAAAACAAAGTTCGAATGTTCGAGAAATTTATTCAGGATATTTAGAAATATATATAATTGCTTTTTCTTTTCTTTCTCTTTTTTTCTCTCTTTCAGTTACTTTACAGGCAAGTGTGCGTTTTTATTTTCAATTAACAAATTTCCATCTTACAACGAAAAAAGTATCTTACCTGATAGCCGATTCTTAACAATGACGACAAAACGATTAGCCTTTTAGCTAAGTCTTAACTGAGATTTAGCTAACATTATACTAAATCATTTCTTTGCGTGTAGTATCTTGCTGCATACCGTTACTATTATTGTTGCTGTTGTTTCAACCGCGTGTCTCGCGCGAACCTTTGTCTGTCCCAGAGTTATGATTCTCCGCGGACGTGATGTTCTCGCCGAACGAGAGCAAATCTCGTGCGCTTTTGAGCAGCCCCGGATATTCCTATATTAATCAGAACGTGTGCGCGAGCGCGCGCTCGGAGGAGTTGACTATAAATCCGTATTCAGCGGGCATATCCTATCGCAATAATCATGACGGGCGGTCTATATGCATAATCTCGCATTGATAACTGCGCCAGTGTGTACCTGCACGCAGCAGCCGCGTTTGTGTATTTGTGTGCGCGCGCGTGTGGGTGTGTATGTGTGTGTGTATGCGCGCAAGTGCACATATGCACTACCGAAGCGAATAACCGTGGGAGCACGTGCATCACACGAGAAACTGGAATAATACGAAGGTAGTGCTCTCTGCCTCCCTTTCCCTTCCCTTCCCCCCCCCCTCCTCTCTCTGTCTCTCTTTTTCTCTTTCTCTCTCCTTGTCTCTCCTTCCAGCCACAAAGTCGGTACCCACTCGACTCGTCTCGGCCGTAGTCGCTCTATATTTTTATCGATTCCGTGTAAATCCGGCGAGACAATGTCCGACCGCTCATAAAAACCGCAAGTACCGCCGTTACGGGATCGCTCGCGCAGAATGGCGAAGCGCGTTGTAACGTATCGAGATTTTTATCGTGGAGAAACCGCGTATCCCCGTTTACGAAAAGCTTATCTTGTAACGCGGAGTTTATCTCGAGTTTCGACGCTTCTGAAACACGGCCATCTTATTTCCGTGAAGCGCCAAGGCCGATCGCTATCTTTTCGACAGCATCCATCACGGTCTCGTTGATATTACTTCAGTCGTGTATCAAATAACGATGCGCGGGCTCGCCGTCATGAATCTTTCCCCTTTAGCATGAATTCGTGAAAAGTGAACTTTTTCTAACTTGAAGGCATTTAAAAATGTTCATTTTTCACGAGTTCGCGACGGAGGAAAGATTCATGATCGCTCTATCCCTAGAAATAGTGTTCGCAGGGGACATTTTATTTTCTGCATTTATGTCGCAGACATAATATAGGCGTAATTTGACGTAGATGTAAAATAATTGGACGCAACGTCACCTCCGAGTATCCAAAGAGAGATGGCGAGAGAAGAGACTAAAATAATTCCTCGACGTATCTGGAATACTTTTCATACTCCTACAACGTGAGACAGTCTTAAAGATTTTTTTCCCGACGTCTTCCCTCGTGCTTATGCACAATCTCGTGGTGTCCTCAAGAATCTTCAGTTACCGTGGAAACCTTTGAACGACTCCATCACCGTTGAACCGAGTCGGAATAGTAAGCGACGAAGAGGAAAGACATCAGGGAAATCTGGTGAGATGAGCTGGCCTTTTCCAAGAAAGCCTCAGCGAGGGTGTATATGCAAAGACGACGATGGTAAATTCGTTTCTTCCTTCACGCTCCGGTAAAACTAGCGCGCGTTAGAACCGAGTTTGGTAAAGTTTCGGCGAAAGTGGATTTCGTCGGCTTTTTTGTTTCTCTAGGTGGAAACGAGATTGTGATCCGGTGAAACGAAAATATCGATCGTAGCCTGATTTACAGGCACGAATCTCGCCGGGAGAGTCGTTATAATTGATACCCGAGCGAATCCAAGCGTGAAATAAATGATCGGATGTTGCAAGGACGAACGCATTAATAATGATAGAACCTGAATCTGGGAGTTATATAAACGTTTTATTATGTTATTTCATTATATTATTTTCCTAACGTTAAACCTTTCCTTATAATTTTATTTATATTCCTGATGTATAATTTGTTCCTATCGCGAAATTCCAAATCGTTGCGTTAACAATTCGTTAACGATTTAACATGCATATATAGCATGATTTTATATTACAAATAATTTTAGATATCATACAAGGTAAGATAATGAGTGTAACTATTGCTACTTTGAATATTTTCGGAATTTGAGAGTAGGAGGAAAATTTAACAAAAATTACATGGAGAGAAAAAACATCTAAAAAATAAAACATATTTATTCGATGCGTACTAATAAATTTACTAATACCAATATAATAAATATTTATATATTATATTTATATATATACCAAGAATAAATATTTTTTTTCTTTTTTAGATATTTTTCTCTTAGTGTATATAGCATAGAAACGGGTATTTTATGACCGTAGCACTTTTTTCTAGATGAAGTAACTTCAAAGATCTGAATAGTAGGATTTTCTGAGTAGGATCAAAATTTCGACTCAGATATAATTATGCCAAATAATCTTTTTCATTATCAAATTGTCACAAGATGATTGCTTCTGTACCATGGAATTTCTGTTGGACAATAGTATCTTTTGCTATCAAATTTCGAAGATTTTCAACGAGATAATAATATCGTCTTACGTTGTGGGTATAAAATACCTGAGATAATTTGTGCGCAGATGGTAATAGACGTTTTTTGGGTGTGTACGCTCGTCCGAGATTGAAACACGCAATGGGGATTGTGTTTCCGCTGCGCGTACGGGTACATTGTCGCACCTGCATGTGCAGAAAGTCGTGGACTGCTCGGATTTCTTTTGCGCTGGAGGGTCTCCAGCAACCCTCACGAGAACCGCGGGGAATACACTCGCCGACGGATTTGTTACGGTTGACCCCTTCTGCAATTGAATGCGCGCGGCTCCGGTTTCAGATCACGATTAATGTCTTTTTCTGAACGTACAAAAGAGCTCCATTTCGAGCGAGTGGACGTTGCACGTGGTAGTACACATGAGACATTATCGCGGACAGTTCCGTTTCATTTTTTAATTTTTAAGGCTTCTATATCCTCGCCGCGGCCATCTTGATTAATTAGCAGAGTGAGAAAACGTGTGCCAAAATTCTTGCAAAATACGCCGAAATAAAAAGGATGTGTCTGTGAAATTACACCTACATTATAAAAAGGTGTTTGGCACTTGTAACTATAATCGTATAGTGAAAGATTTATAGTTAATAGTAGTATTTTTATAGTAAATGATATTATATTGTTAATAATAATAAATTACATGCATGTTGCTACATTACTGTTTCTTTGTTAGACCAGCAGCAAATATAGTTGACGCCGAAAATAATTCATAATTTTAGTAACATTAACCATGTTTTTCTCTCAGTATGAGGTTGATTAAGTAAAATATTCTGAAAATTTTCTAAAATTTTTTTTGCGTATTCATAAAAAAATAATCAGAAAATTAACATAGCAAAATTATGAGAAAAGGTAGATTCAAAAGAAAGATTGTATATCACATTAATTTTATGGTTCATTGATTGTTAAAGTAAAAGAAAAGTGTTCAATCGACCATAAATGTCACTTTATATGTATATTCTTTTATTTCAACGTATTTTGCAGGAATTTTGGACACGTTTTCTCGTTTTCAGTCTTATTCGGCCAAAAGAGTTTTAATACACTTCCACAATTGGACATTATTATTATGGCTACTCGTTCTATCATCGAGAAATTTGTAATTTTGTAGTATTTGTGTCCGGGGAATGAAATTACCGACTTATTGTTAGTCTTCATTACGATCGACATTTATGGACTCTGTTGAATGCAAAAATGAACAATAATTTTGAGAATTATAAATCTCATTTGGAACTCATATTGAACTTTATTTGGAGCGATGCTAAATACAAAATAATCGGCGAATTTTGCGTGCAGCTCTCAGTTGTTACTCAGGTTTTTGACAAACTTGGTTACGTAGCTTTGACCTATTCGACATAATTGAATAATTCTATATATTTGGGTCACAATCGAGAATATTTATCGGAAAAGCGTTACAGAATTTATCTGAAAATGAATTACATCTGGAGAAATAATTTCTACAGAGTTATTAATCGGTATCGCTCTTCACTGTGTCTCGTCTCTCTTTGTTCTTTTCTGTTATATGTTTCAATTTACGTCCCGCATAGAAATTTCCCAAGATTTTCCCAGATACAGCATAGATTCTGATTAGAATACCCAAAATTGTTCCGAGATAGGTTACTTCACTAGAATATCAATTGGGTATCCTATTCTTGTCCAAAATATGGGTCTGTTTAGAATCGAATCGAAAACAAATGAGAACTCGCACTTTTTTTGAGTCCGCAGTATCGATATATTTTTATGGTATCAAATAAAAGAGAATCGTATTTTTATATGCAAAATTGAATAAAATATCAAGAAATAAGATATTTTTAAAACATTTTGAGCATGTGTTAGTAAATAATGAAATCATTTAGAAAGTCAACGTGTTTTATTCAATTCTAACGTAAAATGAAGACCACACTGAGAGAAATTATTCGATAAAATAATTAACAGACGATCAAAATATTGATGAATTTTCTGGTCAGGAAACATTCGATGAGAAATATCGGTTTATAATTTTTTGATCGGTTTATCTGATGAAATGCCATTATGATCGGAAGTATCCGATTAAGTTTAAATCGGATATTCTGATCGGATATAAAAATTGATTGGAATTTGATCGGAAATATCCGTTTGTTAATTCTTTATCGGATAATTTCTCTCAGTACAGAAAACGTATGGGGTAATCTTTGGGTTTTCCCATTAGAATTGTATGTTTGAAACATTATCTTCCGCACAGAAAATTTTCCGAGATCTACTTGGAGTTCGCTTCAATTTCCCAAAAGAATGGTAGATTCAGGATCATACAGTTATTATTAAAATACACCAGCCGCAGGGCGAATAAAGAATAAGAATCTGGTTGTTCATAAAACGCGACGAGAACGAGCCGTTTCGACTCGCTAGAGGATAATTCTAAATAATCAGCTGAACGTCTCAGCGTCGATCAGCGTCTCGCGTCCGCTTAGACCTGATCTGGCTGGCGTGAACCCCGACGAAAACGCGCGCCCATTCCTATTCCCGTCCCGGAGCGGGTCCTTTCTTCGCGCGGATCCCCATTTCCGATACGTGTATCCATCCTAGAAGAATGGCGAGTCGATCGGAGCGTTAGTTTGCCCAACGAGACGGTGAAAGAGCAACACGAGCGAGGGGTCGGTCGGGGCGCGATCATTCGTCTGTTTTGATCGGATCGGCTTCTCCTTCTTCGTCCACCCACTCATCCGTCCGTCCGTTTGCTCCCTCTTTGTCCGTCTCTCTTTCTCTCGAGCTCCGAGTCTCCGTCTCTGGAACCGATTGGATTGGCTCCGAGCAAAAGTGGAGGAGCCAGTTGAGAATGCTCCACGGAATCGAGCTAAGCA